TTTTTTGGTTTTTTTTTTTTTGGTTTTTTCTCCGGTACTGGGAACCGAACTCACGACCTTGCGCTTGCCAGGCAGACGCTTTGCCGCTGAGCTAAATCCCCAGCCCCCCTACCATTTTGTTTAGTGAAGCTCTGTATCATTTCTAATGGTTTATTATTATTATTTTTTATTCCTTTTAATGATTTGATCAATCTTGCATTTTTATATCTGGTAGTCTGAACAACTTCATTGAAGATAACAATATGTAGTATAACAACCACTGTTAATTCCTATCATTTTGTTTTGAAACCTTGTATCATTTTTATAGTTCTTGTGTTGTTTTGTTTTGTCTATGTTGTTACTTTATTATTGTTTTTTACTTTCTTTAAAATTAAAGCAGTGTTTGCAAAAAATAAAAAAAAAGAATTTCTATAGACTATATATCTAACAGTATGTTTGCTGTGTCCTAAGGTAAGAATATTTTAAACTATACTAGGTATTATCAATCGCTTACCATAATGCTTATTATAACTTATTCTCCTGTCAGGAATATAGAAGAGCTCTCATTTCTCTATATCAATGAAATACTTGGTATCTTTAGATTATTAAGCATATATCCATACACTAGAATATTATATGGCAGTAAAAAGTAGTGGAACTTTAATACATGCTACAACATAGATGTATCTTAAAAATATTAGCTAAATGAAGGAAGTCAGTCCCCAAAGATCATATATTATGTGATCTATATTATATGAAATGTCCAGGTGTTGTAAAGCTTCAGAGGCAAAAGATAGATTAGTGATTTCCAGGGGTGGGAGGAGTTCTAGGGAAGAGGGAGATGAACACAAATAGTATAGGATTTCTTTTGGAAAGTGATGGAAACGTTTGAAATTGGTTGCAGCAATGGCTTTATGACTCTGTGAATGTATCAGAAGCAGTTGAATTGCAAATTTTTTTCTTTTCCTTTTGCCCTGAGATGGAATCCAGGGCCTCCCACCTGCTAAGCAGTGAATTGCACATTTTGAGTGGATCAATTGTATGGTATGTAAATTATATCTCAATAAAGCTGTTAAAAAAATGGGGACTATTCATCTAAAGAAGACAGGCAATACTAGCAATAGTAACAAAATAGATGATGGAAAATACAAAATAAAGAAGCTATAGATTTTTATTGCTTACTGAAGATGAGGTGAAAAAAATACATAAAATTAGAGATGACTAAGACTACAATCCAAGTAGATTTGCAAACTTGTTCTACTATGAATTGAAATGACACCAAGATAAGAGAGGGAAGGTTTTGTTTGACAGCTCTGTGTGTCACACCAACCACTGTAATTTCGAACTGTCAAAGCCTATTGTTGTTGCATAGCAGAAATATCATGGGTAGCTTCCTTCCTTCCTTTCTTCCTAATGTACTCTGATTAAAATATTTTGCAAAAATTAAAGGGAAACAATGACCATGAATGGCCCTATGAAATGCTTATAAGACAGAAAGTGATTTCAATTATGTCACAAATATAATTCAACAAGGACTAGGATTGAAAATATAAGACTTAAACTATAATACATATTTCTTGTTCTTTCTGCATAGCACACCAGTTTGTCAGCAATGATTTTTCATTCCTATTTAAGAAATTATAATTATGGTGCTTTTATACTTTATTGCACAAGCTCTAAGAGATGCTAAATATAACATAAATTGGTACTGATAACTTATAGGAGAGGCAGTATCTCAGTTGCGGTTATGATGATACTGCTGTCTTGGTTCATGAACACTTAAATTGGAATGAATTTTTCACTATATCTGGTACCATACTTAAAGATTTTCAACATCTTGATTAAATATGGCTAACTGTTGTCACAGACAATGAGCTGTGAAGTATATCTAAAAGTACCACAGAGTAGGATAACTTTTTAAAAAGTATGAAATCCAGGAGGTGGGTACTCAGACCACATATCCAATTTTGAGGTTGAAATTTTTCTCATGAAGAATTCTCTTCAAGAAAATCCTCTGCTAGATATGGTGGTGTACACCTGTAGTCTCAGCTGTTGAAGGCTGAGGCAAGAGGATCACTTGAGCCAGGAATTCAAAGCCAGCCTGGACAACATAGCAAAACGCTGGTCTCAAAATAAAAGAAAATCTTCTCTGTGAAAAATTCTGTCTTATTTACTTATGTGCATACCATTATAGTTTTCAAGAAACAATCCCTTAAGTTAACAAAAAATTATCATTGTACCTTTCTTCAGGCATGACATTTGGGGCATATTACCTCTGTAATTCTGACATCTTGACATTTATTTCTCCAAAGGCTCATGTATAAAATGAAACAAAAAAACCTATAGCCTCAAAATGTATATATTTTATGCTCTGGAGATGATTTATTACGAAGCAAATCCTGCCAAAAGGCCATTTGATAAAATGGTTCTTCTGGACACCTGAAATCCTCACCATTAATATTTTGCCCTCGGGGCTGGGGATTTAGCTCAGGGGCTGGGGATTTAGCTCAGCGGCAAAATCGCCTGCCTGGCAAGCGCAAGGTCGTGAGTTCAGTTCCCGGTACCGGAGAAAAACCGAAAAAAAAAAATTTTGCCCTCTGTGGCCTCTCAGGATATGTTTACATTTTAGCAAGGCTAAGTTGTTTTCTTTTTATACGTGAACAGTCTCTAACTGTGTAAATGAAATGGGCAGCCTCCACCTATAAACTGCTGGGCATCAGCTAAAAAAGGCTGGCATCAGGAAAAGAGTCCAAGGTGCTACTTTAGTAAACCACTTTAGTAAGGATGTCAGCAACATGGGCTGCTGGGAATAGGAAGGGGGTTGGGAAGTGATATGTGTGCCCATCCTAATGGCAGCAGCATCTGCTGCATCTGCATCTTGGGTACAAATATGAACAGCCCTTCATGCTAAATGCTAGTAACTAAACCAGTTTTTAGAAATCTATAGGTCAACACATTGCAAGCCAAACAGCATAGTTCTAGAAGTCTTATGAGGCCACAGACTACTAGTTTGAATCCCTAAACTTCCCAGAGGAAGTTGCAGAATATTGAGCACAAAAGTTGCCCTTTTCCTGGGTAAACGTGGAGTTAATGGCAAGAGGAATTCTCACCTCTGCTCTTAGGCACCATCTACAGCGAAGCTTGCCACCAAAGCTGGGTCAGCTCCCTCCCTGAAGAAGGACTACAAAACCAATGTTCAACCCTCTCAGCATGTTTAGAACAAGCAGAGGCCCTGTCCCTGCCCATAAGTTACAAGCCAGTTTTCCAAGTGGAATCAAATCATGGGGGAGGATGCTGCAGTCTCTGTCAGGATATTAAGAGCAGAAGAGTTATGAGATTTCTACCTTAGTCTGCTTTCCTCCTGTACATGGATTGGCATTGGCTTCTTCAGTGAAAAATCACTGGGAGCCTGGAGTACGACAGTCAGGGCAAGAGGTTGGGTGCAGGTGTTATATCCGCGACTAAGGCAATCGAGGCTCTACAGTGGGTAAGAGGATGAGCTTTGAGGTGAACTGCCTGAGGTCACTTGCTTGGAAACTATCTGAGCTTAGGCCATTTGCTCAAGTCATCTGTAAAATGAGGATAATAAAATAGCTACCTACAAGGTTGTCGTGAGTATTAGAATAGGACACAATTAGTTGTTAGCTGTTATGAGGGGATATTGTTTTGGAAAGTTCAGGAAAATGTGGATCAGAGAAGCTAACTGGCTTGTCCAAAGTCACACTACTTTGAAAAAAAAGGAAGGTGCTGATATTCAAACTTTAGTTCATCTAAATCTAAATTCAGTAAAACAGCATTCTGATCTTTTTGCCCTACCTTCAAATTTTCTCATGATGCTGGGTTTGTCTGATTATTTAATATAAATGATTTGCTTATAACCAGGTTTTGCCACAAATCCAGGCTACATTTGAATTCAATATATTATACTAAGCAATGGAGATAATTCTAGGCAAATAATCTTAAGTGATTAAGATTGAATGGAGAGCAGGCTCAAGGCAATGGGTGAAAATAACCAGATAGAGCTATAGCCACATAACCCAGAGAGCAGGGGAAAAGAAAGTCTCTCCAGAAATAATGAAGCCCAAATAAAAAAGTTTAGCCTTTTACTAGTGAAAATGGAAAGCATTTCAGTTGGTTCTTGTTTGGGGACGTGTTAGCATCAGTTCAGGTTTGAGGAGCAAACCACACATTGAAGCCTAGAGACCAAAGAGTCTGCCTGGACTACATGATCTTGCTAAATTAGTGAATATCAACAAAGTCACTCTGAAATATTTGGATTAGTTCAACATTTTTCTGTCAGCAAATGCCTTTTAAAGAGCAGGTTATTAAAGAAAAGTCATGATCTCAGTTTACAAGCAGCGTAATGATCATTTAGAGATAAGAAAACCAGAGCTGGAACAGATTAAGCCTTTTACAAGGTCACCCAGTGAATTGGCGACAGGGTAACTAGATTTAGATCCATGTATGTCAGTGGTTAGGTCTGTGATCCTGAAATCAGATTCCCTTGAAGCAGATCCTACATCACCTCCTGTATCCTGTATTACTTGGGGAATTAGATAGTACTCCTGAGCTTTGGTTTCCCCATATATTCATTTATGTACATATATGTGTATTTTTTGTAGTACTAGAGATTGAATTGTAGGCTTTTGCACTGAGCTACATCCCCAGCCCTTTTTAATTTTTTTTTTTTTTTTTTTACTAAGTTACATGGTCTTGCTAAGTCGCTATGTTGCCCAGACTGTGATTGAATTTGCCGTCCTCCTGCCTCAGCCATCCAGAGTGCTGGGATAACAGGTGTGTACCACTCCTGGCTCAATTTCCTCATTTCTCAGATAGAAGGAAGCATAGTTTTTGCCTCACTACATGGTTGTTCTGAGTCTGTGATCTATGAAAAGCATATGCTACAAAGCCTGGCGCATTGTGAGCACTCAGATATCAGCTCTTCCTGAGACTGGCAGCCAGCTCAGGGATCTTGTAACTGCACAAATCCCATCAGTCAGGTAATAAATAAAAGGCCAAAATGGGTCCAAATGGGCTGTTTATTGAGCTGATATGTCAAGTACTTGTAGATCTTTTTACCTGCCCTCTTGCCCACCAGCTCATGGCAATAAGAGCCATTGGCAGCCCACACTTGGCAGGCTCGTCCCAGGCCTCAGTCTGGGCTTCTCTTGAAACAGCCCCTCTTGAGTATTGGAGTTCATCAAAAGCAGGTAGCAAATAGGGTTTCATCAGGATACCCAGACTCTGTGGACAAATTTCAAAGAGATTCATTAGCCCGTTCTTTGTTGTACGACTATAATACCTGTTAAAGAGAAAGAACAGTCTTGAGGACTTGCAACAAAACTGAATGAAGCCTGAGCAATAATCCGCCTGGCACACATTCTAACTTACACCAAAGTACTGTTAGCTAACTAGTGCTTGAAAGAGCCAGTGATTTCCTTAACTCTATATTCCATCAAGTGATACATTGCTATTTTGTATATTCTCTACCCACATTTTTCATATCCACATTTATGCAGTCTGTAGGCTTCAAAGTCAGTTATAGAAGCCAGGCGTGGTGACAAACACATAATCTCAGCACTCTAAGACGCCAAGAGAGGAAGATTGTAAATTTGAGTCCAGACCAATTTAGTGACTTAGTGAAACCCTATCTCAAAATTTTAAAAAGCTAAAAAGAAAAAGGTTGGGTATATAGTTCAGTACAAAATTTAGGGGCTGGGGATTTAGCTCAGCGGCAAAGCGCCTGCCTGGCAAGCGCAAGGTCGTGAGTTCGGTTCCCGGTACCGGAGAAAAACCAAAACAAAACAAAACAAAACAAAACAAAACAAAATTTAATCCTCAGTAGTGGAAAAAAACTCAACATAGAATACTGCTTAAGCAAGCAAGCAGAAAGCTATTAGTCTATATTTTACAATTCTCTCCCTATTTGGCTGCCTTCCACATCAGGTAGAAATACTGAGCACTGCATTCAGACACTAAGCATGGGCAACTGACTCAAGATTAGTTATGTAGATAACCATGAAGGCCAGTCTTCATGTCCACTTGACAGGTATCTGTTGACCTGCTGCTTATTTGTTGGCCTCTTGGCCAGAGCTGAGCATTCAGGTGTGATCAATACACAAGTCAAGGCTTTGTCAATTAAGATTACTTTTGCAATGCATTGTCCAAAGTATAGTTGCAAGTGTAGCCCTGGTCTTTCATTATGAAGCTGGACCCTTTGATGACATTTGTATGAAACACATAAATTTAAGAAAGAATGTCTGCAAATAGCAAGGAATTGGTACCACCAAACTCTAGCACTTAGTTCATTTTGCCCCTGCCACAACCTTAGGAAAGACAAGTATAACTGCCCTCGCTTTATGAGGATGTAAAACAGAGGTTAGATGAGGATGTGTAAACAGAGGTTAGATGTTTTGATGTATAAAGAAAGATTAGATTGTGCCACTAAAAGCTAGTTGAGTAGAAAAAGGAGTAGAACTGGGATTCCTGAAAGGCAGTTTACCAGGGAAGGACATCACTATTCTTTCCTCTTGTTGAGCAAATTCTTCTACTTTCTCCAAAGGGCCCACTGCTGTAGTTTGGCTCTGAAATGTCCCTCAAAGATCCATGTGTCAAAGATTTGGTTTCCAGAGTGATGATCCTGGGAGAATGTAGAACTTTTAAAAGTCAGAGTCTAATAGGAAGACATTACATCAGTGGAAGTATGTCCTTAAAAGGGATTGTGGAATACTGGCCCCTTCCTCTTCTCTCTCTTTCCCTACCCAATCACCAAAAGGTGAGCAGCTTCCTCTGCCACCTGCTCCCACTGTGATGTTCTGCCTTACCACAGGCCCAAAGCATCAGGACCAACTGATCGCAGACTGACATCTCTGACTCTTGGAGCTAAAATAAACTTCATTCCTTTTTTCAGAATTATCTTAGGTACTTTTCTACAGTAATTGAAAGTTAATTTACACACTTTTCTTTGCCTAAAAAGAAAAATTCAAGTGTATTCCAACGGAAATTAAGCATTACCAGGATTAGTGTTCCTTAAATTTCCTTTAGTCAGTTGTGTTAAAAAATTGACACTTCAAGAAACTTTTCCAGAGACTTCTGAAATTCTGAAAGTCTGAATTTAGTGCTACTTCCATGAAAGTTAAGTATAATAGATAGATACCTGGCTTAATCCATCCCCTGATTCACTCTCAAATGTTCTGGCAACTGCCCATCTTCATCCCCACTGTTTAAGTAAAGGGGCCGTATTTGTACAGAGGTGCTGATTCTAGGTGGATCTTGGCTTAAACTGGGTTAGGAATTTGGAGTCAAGACCAAGAGAGGGGGAGTGCCAGTCTTTGGGCCAGTCCCTAGCCATGCAGATGCCCGGGAGGTGGGCCCCTGGCACCTGGGAAGCCACGTAACATGCTGGCCCTCAGGCCAGCTGCCACTGTGTGGTCGAGAACTATCATGGCACAGTGAAGCAATGACGCAATTGGCCCACCACAGGCCGACTGCGGAGGTGCACCCACGGACGTGCACAAATAATCCCAACATGGATAAACCCCTGGGAATACATGCCACACAACGGGTCGCTCTTGCCTCTGCTGTTGAGAACCAGAAAGGTCTAGAGTCAGCGGAGGAGCAGCTGCTGAACAAGGACCCAGAGAACACTAGAATACAGACTACGCCTGAAGACTCAGAGGTCTAGTTGACTGGGGTCACGAGAGCCATTCAGAAGCTGGAAACCAGGAAGACCTTGTGCAATACCTGGGGTGACCCCCTGGAAGCCATTCTTCCCCTGACAGTACAGGCTGTGGTGGAGGAGTGCATGGAGCTCCAGAGAGGTCTGCACTGAGATTCCTGCTGCCTGTGCTGATGGTTGGGGAGAGAACACTAAGTGGTTGTGTCCTAATCGCTCCTAATGCGATGGAGGCTGGAGAGAAGAAGCTACAAAAAATGGCTTTTGCCCCAGATGGCTCACTTGAGATGTTAGTAAGAATTGCCTCCTTAGTATTCTATAGCCGTGACGAGGAGGAGGCCAAGGAGAGAAAACAAAGAGACTGAGAAAAAGCAGCTGCTTTTTGGTGCAGCACTAAGAGAAACAGACCCTAAGTCTGATTCTTGAGGCCCTAAGAAGAACTCGACCACTACATTCATCTGCTACCACTGTTAAAAGCCAGGTCACCTCAAGAGGAACTGCCCTAAGAAGCCCCCTGGGCCATGTCCTGAATGCAAAGGAGACCACTGGAAGCAGAGGCCCCGGAGCTCAGACCCATCCTACCAGTTAGTCCAACAGGAATGAGGGGGCCCAGGGCATACTCTGCCTTCTCCCTCTGGCCAGACTGTCATCTCCATGGAGGAACCCTGTGTAATCATAACTATACTAACTATAACTATAAAGGAAAAAGAAAACAGCCTGTTGCTAGAAACAGGTGCAAGTCCTTCTTTTCAATCCTGACCTTCCTTCCAGCTGTCACACCTCAGTGAAAGGAGTCACTAGTGAGGAGGTAATCCGCATTTTTCACAACCCTTAGGCTGTAACTACTTGTTAGATCTTTCTTGCCTATCTCTGTCTCCCTGAGAAACCACTTTGAAGATACCACCATGTATTACAGCAGCTATTGATATTTTCCTACTAATCTATCCATAACTGTGTTAAATTTGTAATGTTCCTATCCTATTTCATAATGTATGTTTATTATTATGTGTTTCCTACAACAACCATTGAGAATAGTCAATGATTATTCAATTGGTCACTCACGTATAGCTCTATTTATTTTCTTTAGAAACCACTTTGAAGATACCAAAGTATAGTACAACTGTTGATAATCTCCTACCACTTTTGTCTGTAACTCACTATTATTTGTCTGTTTGTTTTCCTGAGAAACTATCTTGTAGATAACAATATGTAAAACAACAACCATTGATATTTTCCTACCACTTTGTCTGTAATTTGGTAAGCTCCCCTATTACTATGTTATCCTTCTTTTACTCTTTAAAATTAAAAAAAAAAAAGACCAAGAGATTATACTCCCATCCTGGAAAAAAGTAAATCTTAGGAGAAAGAGGCCTCCATGCTGTTTATGTAGACTGATAAGCAGACAAAGCTGTTGCAGAATGAAAAAACCCTAAGTAGACATCAGAGAAGGGCAGATAGATGAGAAACACTAACATCTCCTGGGGGTTTGAGTCTCTAGTTCCAATTTATTCCTGCAGGCTGGCTATTACCTTACCTTTGTGGTCTATGAGTTAGTGTTACTCTTCCAAGTCTGTAACACATGCTTGCTTTCTGGTAAAATTAAATAAAATATCTGTTACTTTTTCACTGTAACATAAAATTGGAATAGTATGCCTACAGGAAATGCTTTTCTGTATGCTAATGGCTGAAAAGGAAGATTAATACAGAAGCATGTGTTTCTTTATTAGCTCCAGGCTCTGGGGGGTTGGTAATTTTAGCAAAAGTCACTTTGCTTCCCTGGTCAATCTGCTCTTTGCCAGGGTTTCTTTTTTGCCATATTGTGTGTGTCCACCAGGTTATCTTATCTTGAGAGATCATGTAGTGGGGAATCATTATTTATTGGATAATAAATTGCTTGACTTGGGGCTGATTATATTGTGATAATCACATTTTACCTATGTATGTGTATGTGTGTGTGAGCGTGCACGTGCACGTGCACACACATGCACGCACACACATAGGTGCAAGATTGAACCCAGCTATATCTCCAGCCCTTTTTTATTTTTTATTTTGAGAAAAGGTCTTGATAAATTTTGCAGGCTGAGGTCAAACTTGTGATCCTCCTGCTTCAGTCTTGCGGAGTGCTGGGATTAAAAGTGTGTGCCGGGGCTGGGGATTTAGCTCAGCAGCAAAGCGCCTGCCTGGCAAGCGCAAGGTCGTAAGTTCGATTCCTGGTACTGGAAGAAAAACAAAACAAAACAAAACAAAATAAAAAAAATAAATAAAAGTGTGTGCCATCACACTTGACTACATTGCTCTTCTTGAGTCTGACTAATCAGTGGTAATCTGGAGAATACTTTCTCTCAATACTTTCTTGCCGCCTGAGGCAGCAGGAAAATCCTTCATGGGTTGCTTTGTTTTAGCTGATGTATTGTTTTAACTATTCTAATTATGAACACTGATCTTGTCCCAAGCCAGGGTGATTATGCTATTTTCACTGTACAAAAGGTTATTTTTGTACCTGGGGACATTTATGCACTATGGGCTGGAAAATGCTCAGCATAAAGTCTGCTGTTATTCATTCACTGAACAAGTAATTATTGAGTTAGTTCTATGTGCCAGGTATATGCTGCATGCTGGATTATAGCAGAGGATATCAGACAAATATCCTCAACCCCATAGATCCTACATCTATTTGAAAAGAAAGGTGATAAACAAGTATAATACCAAGTGGCTGACAGATTTGATGTCTGGAGAGGGCCAGCTTTCTGGTGCACAGGTTTCTGTCTTCTTGTTGTGTCCTCACATAGTAGAAAGGATGAAGAGGTCTCTGGAATTGTTTTATAACAGTGCTAATCTCATTCATGAGGGTTTCATCCATGTAACCTAGTCTCCCCATAAAGGCCCCACTTCTGAATACTAGCACATCAGGGTAAATAAATTTGGAGGTGAGCCAGGTGTTATGGTACATGTCTATAATCCTAGTGCTATGGGAGGCTGAGGCAGGAGGAAATAAACTCAAGCTGAGTCCAGGCAACTTAGTAACTAGTGAGACCAGGTCCCAGTATCACAAAAGAAAAAAATTGTATGGGGGTGGGGGGGACACAAGCATTCTTTCTATAGTAGTTATTGTGTCAATGTCTTTCAGAACCCCAAAAATGCTGCAGACACTTTTGTTATTTCTAATTTTGCTCAGGGAAACCAGGTTGCTGCAAGATTTAAGAGCCCACTGTCTTGGTTCATGATTTTGGTCAGAATATTGAGTTGATAACTGGACACAACTACTCCTAAAAGCATACCATGCAGATAGAAGGAAGAGAGACCACGTGCAGGCTAATGGATTTGATGTTTTGTTTTCACTTACGAGGTTAGAATGAATTCCAGCTGATTCAGATTTTTCCATTTGTGACATGAACCTCAAGGTAGGAAAGTTTATTAAAAATGATTTCATTGGGAGAAAGAAGAATGAATTGGTGGAGCATAGGGTTTTTAGGGCAGTGAAACTATTCTTTATGATTCTGCAGTGCCACATGCATTTGTCAAAACCCATAGAATGTAAAACACAAAGACTGAATCTTCAGGTCAGCTATGAACTTTGTTGGTAATGGTGTATGTCTGCTGGTTAACTCACTATAACAAATGCATCACTGGTGATGATGTTGATAGTATGAAGGCTGGGCATGTGTGGGAGGGGTGTATAAGAACACTCTGTACTTTCTATTTACTTTTACTGTGAACCTAAAACTACTCTCTAAAAGACAGTCTATTTAAAAAATGATTTCACAGAGCTTCTAATATAAACATGTTTGTGAATAAGTAGAACTTCTGATTTTTCAGAATGTTTTTTATTTAGAGCCTTTTTTTTACAAATTTGTAAATTGATTCAGTTTTAATTTTTTATTAGTACATGTTTAGATTATATAATGATTACATTCCTTTTGTGGCATTGGAACATGTACATGACACATTTTAATTCTTTTTTTTCATCTCCTCTCCCTCCTTGCTCCATTTTTTGATCCCTTTCCTATTTGAACAAAATCTGTTTCTCTACTTCCTATTAATCTTTGTTTTCCTCTTTATTTATATTTTAGGTTTCTCATGTAAGAGAAACTATGCGGTATTTAAGCTTGTGTCTGATTTATTTTTACTTAACATTATGCTTTCAAGGTACATCCATTTTCCTACAAATGAAGCAAGTTTATCTTCCTTTATGGCAGAGTACATGGAGATTAAAAAATACACCAAAGTCATTTGATAAGAGAACTCTATGTTAAACTATTTTGTACAGTGAAGATCACTTGAATGAGTGTTTTTTCATGAAAAGTAAAATGAAATAAAGCATCAGATTCATTGATTAATCCAAAACTGCATTTTTAAAAAAGGCACCACAGACCAGCAACACAGATTCTAAGAGCTCCTTAAGACCAACTAAAAATTGGGGGAAAGATTCTCTCAGGTAGCTATAAAATTACTTAAAATAATTGGAGATTTCTTGTGTTTTCTGGTTGTTTTATAACCTGGTGCCAATTGCAGACTTGTGAAAGTAGGTAGAATTTTCTAAGAAGTAGTCAAACAAGCAATATAGCTGAGCTGTAGAGTGCTTGTCTAGTGTATGAGGCTCTGTACCGCAAAAGAGGAAGGCAAAGGGAGAGGTGAAGGAAGAAGGGAGGAAGAGGGGAAGCAAGCCAGATGATTTTATGGGATAACAGAAGACAAAGTGAACCCCCAATCATAGGAGGAAGAAGAGGCATAACTGGCAATTCCGTTCTTGGAGGACTAGATGATCGCCATAGAATGTAATTTAGTACAGTGGCTCATCCTGTTCTTGTAGGTAACTGGATAGTCACAAAGAAAGAGAATTCCACTCAGATTCCAACTGGAATTAGTCTTAGGTAAGACGTACTTTAAGTGCTTTGCAGAGTATGTGCTAAGCTTGTCTTCTTTCTAGAAAATAAAGTACATGGTTTTTGATGTAGCATTCTAGGTGCAAGACGGTTGCCCTGCACAAGAAGAAAATCCTTGAAGAATGAGATTGTATGAGAGGTCATCAAAAGCCCCTAAATAGGACAATGGAAATCATATAAAATGGAAACCAGCAAATAGGTGATTCTGACAAAGTCAAATGGAATCTAAATCCAAGTCATGGTGTTAACAAGCTAGAGAGAATGACCCTTAGGAGGTCAGGGTCCTCGCTGACCAGTAGTTATGGCTTGTTCTAGTCCACCCCCCCCAAAGCCTCATGTGGTCATAGGTGGAGCTTTTTGGAGGTGACTAGCTATGAAGTGTGTGATGCTGGGATTTAAGGATGTGATGCTGGGATCGATTCATAATGTGATGCTAAGATTAAGAGTGTCCACCCTGGGTGCGAGTGTTACCTGCCCTAAGGGTGGATAGCCTGGATAGAATGTAAGGCACAGAGAGAGGGCCACTGCTGTCACTTGCTGCTGCTGCTTCTATTGCTGCTGCTTGTCTTCTGCGGCCTCCTGCCTGCTCTGCGATGCCCCTCTACCATATATCCTGCCTTGGAGTCAGACTATTATGGACCGAAACTTCTACAAATTGTGAGCCAAAATAAACCTTTCCATTTTAACTTTATGTGTTGAGTATTTTGTCTCAGCAACAGGAAAAGTAACTAAGGCACTGGACTGAGGGCTGGGAAGGGAAACAGTAAAACAGTGTGTGTGTGTGTGTGTGTGTGTGTGTGTGTGTGTGTGTGTAGAAACAACTACCGCATAATGCAAGGACTCAGCAACTGTTTGGAATCAATGTGCATGCTCAATCAAATTCTGAGGAAAGAATTTGGGAACTTCTTGAGTTTCCCAGTGGCTTGGGATACAGATTAGCAGAAGAGAAGGACTCAAGTAGTGCTGGTAGAGAACTGCCCAGCGGCCCTCTAAGATGCCCATGACCTCTTCTGCCTGTTCCTCTCTGTAGTCCCCATCATTATGGAGCCATGATGTCATATAAACATTTGAGGTGTTAGTCCTCACTGTGATCAGCACTGGGCCTACATATGCAATGGGTAGAGAGGAGAAATAGTTAGAAAGCAAGGTGTCCCAGTGTGCATGTGGTTACATAAATTTTATGATTACACAAAGGCTTTTGCATTTTAGAAGTTAGGTGAGAGGTAGAAGCTGGTAGATTACAGTTCTAGTTTTCCCAAATCCCACCTCCTCCATGAAATCATACATTAATATTTAGCATATTACCACGATATATTTGTTATACAAAAGAAGGTTTTATCCAAATTGCATATACCCCCTTGTAAACTCATTTAGAAATGGCAATACTTTTAACTGATTCTAGCTTATCAGCCTTAATGCTACTAAGTAAAAATTCTCTGAGAGTGTCACAGCTGAGTAAACATTAAGGAATAACAAGAAATACTTTAGATAGAATAACTAATAAAAAACCATAAGCCAGCCAAGTTCTTTGAGTTTTATTACTTTTAATCCTTACGGTCAAAAGAAAAGAAGAGAAATCCCCTCAGTAAAATTCAGAAATGTGATCTCCAAGCAAAAAATTCCCCTATAACTGAGTCACAGGTGGAAATCCAGGAATTTTTTTTTAATGCCATGGTCAGTTGTTGACACACCAGGGAGATCTACAAACACAGTTGTTTAAATATAACAGATTGCCATTACTTCATGGATTCATTAATCACAATTCAGCTTGTTATCAGGAAAGAAAATTACCAGTGCTATTAAATTTCTACCCCATTACCTTGATTTTTATTTAGAGCCATTCATCAATGATTTTCTTCTTCACTGGAACTCACAAGGTAACCAAGCTGGAAAGTCATCAAAGAAACACAATACACTTGATGATATCTTGGAAATGTAAATGCTTGCTGCAATTTAGTTAATTCACAAAGTTTCTAAAGCATCACAGCAATCTATTCAAGATAGTTTTTAAGCTTTGCTTCAAACCCACCCCATCAGGTATAGACACTTCAAGCAGTGCTTGAGGAAAACTTTTTGTTGTGTTTTGTTTTTTGAGATACCATCTCACTCTGTAGCTCAGGCTGGCTTTGAATTCACTATGTATCCAAGGCTGGCCTCAAACTTGCTGTAATCTTTTGCCTCAGCCTCCTGAGTACTGGGATTATAGGTTCTCCACCACAGCTGGTGAGGAAAACTCTTAAAGTGATAGTTTATAGTAACTGGCCTCCACCACAGTGATGAGACTGCTATTCTCTCAGCCTTTTTGATGGTCCCCAAGTACTATAATCCCTTGCCTAAATGAAAGACTGCTGCTTTCATTTTAATGCATTCTCCAAGAATGTTCCTTTTCAATGAAGTGACTTTCTAGCCTTCCACAGAAAATGTTCAGTGACCCTACCTTTAGCACTGGTTCTGAAACAGATATCCTTTAAGATAAATTGATATTATAAACACATTAGCCAGGCTGGCCATGGTGGTGCACACGTGTAATCCCAGCACTCAGGAGGCTGAGGCAGGAGGATTATTGTATGTTTGAGACCGGCTTGGAGGCTACAAAGTGAGCTCAAGGCCAGCCTGAACTGCATAGTGAGACCCTATCTCAAAAAGACAAAAAATAAAATAAAATAAAATAAACACATTAGCCATCCAATCCACAAATATTTACTAACCACTCTTTATAGGACTTGAGATAGCACAACAGAAAATATAGTATGAGAAGATAGGATCTACTAAAACTTTGTACTGTTGATGGGCTATAATATACACAGACAAAGGAAAAGCTAATGGTCACTGAATGTTGTAGGTAGAAACTGCCGTAGGACGTTAATGACTCACTCTAGACAATGGAGATGAGATGGTCAGGTCATCCTCAGAGGAGAGGAGACGTGAAGTGAGGAGGGGAGAGAAATAAAGTGATAAAGATGGGAAGAATCATTTATATTTGAGAGCTAAACAGTGAATCTGCAATAACTATAAGCCTGTTGTGCATAGTGCTTGTGTGACCACCTTTCCAGTATGAATAAGGTTAGTCCTAACTCAGTACATTTGACTGTACTACTGTCAGTTTGAAAAAGTGAAGCCCAAGTCATGCTTGACTGTATTTGGCTCCATTTGGAATCATACGAAATACAGTCCTGGCTGGACTTACCCTCTATGCTGTTTGTTCCCCTAAGTTTGTTCCCTCCTGTAATTCATCCCAACCAAATCAATGATGAATGATCATTGCTGCATAGGGAATTTTACTGATTGTCATAGCTGGACCTGACCCTTCTCAGTTTAATAGATCTAGGAGGCTCATACGTTCTTCCCTTTAAAAAATGCAGTCTGTAAGAGCCAGCCTACAAGCTTGTACCTGACTAAGGGATGATGAGGATGAAAAACAAAGGGACAGAATTAGGTTAAAATGGGGGAGGGGGTCAAGGGGCTCTTGTCTCCAACAAAGCGCCTGAGTGACTGGTGCTCTCTACTTTCATTCACTCAGACATGGGCACAAGTAATTACAGTAGAACAAGGTTAATCTGCCCCCCACCATCCATGGTACATGTCCAGGTAAACAACAGGCTCTCAGATGTATTAACTTTCCCTGCAGTGTGTCAGCACACACTCATACCACCTTTCTCCCTAGTGCTCACAGAAGAGGCCAATTAGGCCTTAATCTTCCTAGCCGGTCTCCCACACCAGTCAGTTTTTCTGTATCTTAGTTCCGGATAATTAGGTTCATGCAATCCAAATGGTGTTAGTAAATCATAAATTACATTATCTACAAGAACACATTTTTGTTATTTCTGCTTGGCCAGTGTCCTGATTGTGCTTTTTGGTGTACCACACCCAGAACATCTTTGATAATGAATGTAGAAGTACAAACTGAGAGAAGAAAGTACATTCAAAAGACATACTCAGTCAAAGAATAACTTTCTGAAGGAGACATTTATTGCTTTCGTCTGATCAGCACCCCTTCTTCTCTACTGATGATAAAAGATAGCAGCCTTGCTGCTTATTTACACAACTTCCTCTTGCCATTCCTTGAAGTCTTGTGGGGTTACCATTCAAAATTTTGGGTCCACCTCCCCAAGCTAAACTCGAGGAGGAAGTTGAATTTTGATAGGAGAGACAAATGACAAAAAGAGGTTGGAAAGTATTAGTACAATGGCAGCGGCCTGGAAAAATTATCCATTAGTTCCTATCCCTTAGAGTTCTCTAATTGTGTCCTGATGAATTTGCCTTTCTGGAGATGTGAGTAGTGAAATCTTCTTCAGCATGTGTTTTTTCATTTGCTGTGCTTCTGTTTACTATTTTTAAGTTAAGTTAGATCTGGGGTTTTTTTGTAGTGTGGCTTACAATAAAAGCGTACTAGTTAGCCTTTCTATTTCAACCTCTAACTAGGGATGTATTAGGGACAGAAAAGTTCAAATTAAGCATCATTGGCAGGAAGCAGGGGTGACACCACATCAGTGACTCTCCAAATGTTGGTTTTGGCATAGTTGGTTTTAGAGAAAGAAGAGGTAAACAGAAGCAGCCAGGGTGAGAGAACAAAGAAAAGGGCAATTTGTTCACAAAGAAAAATTCCCTCACACCACTCATAACAATAACATCAAAACAGACAGGTATCACTATGAATTCATTTTGGTACACCTATATCTCATGATAAACACCTATTTCTAGTTTCACATACGATGAAAAAGCCTTTTGTACTCACAAGTTGTGTGTCAGGTTTCTGAGCTGAAAAAAAAACCAAGAGAGTGTTGTTGTTGTTACTTGCAAGACAGCTAAATCCTGGACCAGAATTCCTTGTCGACTCTCTTTTTCCCATCAACCAACCACTCAAACTGTTCAATGTCATATCTTGAAGGGTTCTGATATGTAGGTTATGGATTCAGCCCTGGTATCACAGAGCCAATAAAGGGGCTGAGATTTTAAAATAGGAAAGTTTGTAATCCAATGTCTTAAATTTTTTGTGTAACAAAATCCCACACAGTATGTGTTATTAATGCCCAATGCAGCACAAAGGACTCACAAGGGAATTCCACTGGATTTAGTGAAAGAAAAATGCTTTCGTCTTATTCAAAGTGCATTTATACATTGGGCAAAGGGGAATGGGTGGATTAAAGTGCAGGTTTGACAGAGAAATAAAGAGACATGAGGGGCTGGGGATTTAGCTCAGCGGCAAAAGCGCCTGCCTGGCAAGCGCAAGGTCGTGAGTTCGGTTCCCGGTACCGGAGAAAAACCAAAAAAAAAAAAAAAAAAAAAAAAGAGAGACATGGAAACAACTGGAAGAATTGAGCAACAATTTTTTTTATGTTTTTAAGCTTTGAAGTATCTAGACATGTTTGGAGGCAAAAGAGAAAGGGCCACTGAAGAAGAAAGGGATTAGCAGAGCTGGCTTTACAGGCAGATGACCTCTGCATTCACCAGGGCCCTACATTTGGCCTTATGCTCTGTTGTCACTCTTGAATTTTTTTTCATTATGCCCCACAGATTTAGTAATAGGTCAGGGACATATTCATGAAAGTGCTCTGGAAGGTGTGAAGCACCATTTGGTAGGCTGATTAATTGCCCCCCACAAATGTTCATCCCCTAATCTGCAGAAATTGTGAATATTTTACCCTATATGGCAAAAGAGATTTTGCCAGTGTGACTAAGTATTTTTAGATAGGGATATTATCCTAGGTTATCTGGTGAATTCAAAGTAATCACAGGAGTCTTTCTGTGAGAGAAGTACCAGAGTTAGAGTCAGAAAGAGAAGGCATGTGACAACGGAAGCCAAAGAAGTAAAGGAAATGTGACCTTGCCATGCGAGGTCATGGGTCAGGGAGTGCAGGTGACTTCTAGAAGCTGGACACTAAGAAGGGAAATCTATTGTACCCTGGAACCCAAAAGGAATGCAGCCTTGCAGATCCATTTTGGTCTTCTGACGTCTAGAATATAATGTTTGTTTTGTTTTTAGTCATTTTTTTTTTTTTTTTTGGTTTTTTTTCCAGTACCGGAAATCAAACTCACGACCTTGAGCTTGCCAGGCAGGCGCTGTGCTGCTGAGCAAAATCCCCAGCCCCTGTTTTTAGCCACATTTATAATAATTTATTACAGCAGCAGTAAGAAAGTAATACATACAAAACTAAGCTACTAGTTTTGTAGAAACCCAGAGTACTGGTAAAGTTTGCAGCAGTTACCATTTATTGATACCTCCTCCTATGTACTAGGCATTATTCTAAGCCCTTTATGTGTATAACTTATGTAGTCTTAAAACAATATTTGAGGTGGGAATTAAGGCCACATAACTAACTAGAATATGTTAGGCTTGGGATTTCAGTCTAGTCTGTCACTCCAAGTTTTTATATACGTTTATCCCCATTCCCATATTTCCCTATAAACTTTCCCGTTTGTTCTGACGCTCTAACGTGCATTATATTTTCATGTGTCAATACATCAGCGGGGGCATAAGGTGGGGCAGGAGATGACACCCGGGATGTATAAAACCAAGGAGGTGAATTTACCCCCGACAGGATGCAGACAACTTCTTAAGGTAGCTGTAATAGATGTGAGGCTACAGGAAAGTAAAGGTGACAAGTGCTTAAGTTCCAGTTCCGACTTGAATAAGTCCTGGGTGAGTCCTGGAGCCGAGAGTGGACAAGGACCTTCGCGGGTCTCCCGCCAACCTCGGATCATTAACAGCCAGAGACACGTGCTGCTTCAGCCGGTCGACCCAGAGGAGGACCGTCCCCTACCCCCGCCCTCTCGGTGTTTTGGAGCCCTCGTGGTCGCGCCTCATTGGCCGCCGTGCAGCCCGGCCCCGGAGAGGCGGAGCCGCCTCCTTAGCTCTAGTTTGCCGTTAGCTGGGCCTCCGGCTCCGCCTTCCGGCCGCGGGGGCCGCCGGGACCACAACTCCCAGAAGGCCGCGCGTCAGGGCGTGGCCTCGGCGGAGGACGCTAGGGGCGGGGTCTCCCAGGCATGAAGCGGGGGCGCGCGGCACTGCTGCCTGAGTCGCTGGTACCACCAAGCGCCCGGCGGTATCCACCACCTCGGGTCGGCGCGCAGACCTCCACCTCTAGAGGTGCTCTGCCGCCGGGCTCGGTCCCCTGGGGTCGTCGCTCGGCCGCCCTCGGTTCCCGGCCCCGAGGGGCCCGGCCGTCCGCGGCGGGGGGAGGCCAGCATGAGCCGGGGGGTCCGCCAGGCCAGCGCCGGGCAGGGGGCGGCGGTCGCAGTGCAGCTGCTGGTCACCCTGAGCTTCCTTCCCGGCGTCGTCGAGGCCCAGGTAAGCCCGGAGAGGGTCCACCCGGCGCCCCTGCCGACAGTCTAGCCGGCTGCGGACTGGCTGCGCCCGGGGCACCCCAGAGGCCGGGCGCAGGTGCGAGCGAAAAGCTGGGGCACCGACCACTCGGTCAAGCGCAGGAAACGTCTGCGAACCCCGGCGTGCGCGTGGATGGCGACACCGTGGTGATGGCAGGCAGGAGAGGAAGATGGTGACGGTCCTCTGAGCCGTTGCGCTTCTTATTCTTGTACTGCTTTCAGCGGCCGGGAGTGTGGCGGGAGATGGGACGGGGTGGACGTCTCGGCTGTCTTCAGGGAACGCACCCGTGAAGTGTCGCCCTTCGCTTCTGGAGTTCCGGAGGTCGGCCGGGAGTCGGTGGAACTCCAGGACCCCCACTCCTGGCCGCCCTAAGACAAAACTTGAGTTCCTTCAACTTGTGCACTAGAGATTCCGTGGCGTTTGGCCTGCTCAGTATCGTTTTGTTTTTACCTGCTTGCCTTTTTGTCTATTAAGCAGGTCTGAAGGGAGGTGCTAGCGGCTGAGTATGCTAGACTTTGGGGGTGTCTTCCTGAAGCGATGAAAAGCAGTCCTCTCGTTATCCTAGAAACCTGAGGGTTAGCCTTGTGCCAGAAGAGCAATGTTTACTTCTTTTTTATTCAGTAGAATTTGAATGGATCGCCAGGTGCTGTTGTCTCCTCTGCACCTGCTGCACAGTGGCAGAACTGCTCAGAGCCAAAAAGAGTGTCTCGGGTGGCCTGATAATGAGGGGAGATGGTGTTTGCAGCAATTAATGCTCATTGCTAAGAAAAATTGACGATAACTCTTGAGTGCAACCGTGTAAACATGTTTTTCTGACTTTATACAGGTACTTCCCAATGGTTTTTATGGTGCCCAGTACCAAATCCCAGAATACCTGAATATTCCATTTGTGTTCATATTTGAGTAGTTTTAAAATGATTTGACACAAATGAGTAAACTTTTGGTTCTGAGTTAGTTAAGGTACAATCTCTATCCCTACTTCCAGCTGTACTGATTGAGTGGGTCTAGAAGGGGACCCAGGAATCAGCATTGTAAACAGGCCTTGGAAGTAATTGTAGTGCAGTTATTTTTAAATCCCACTTGAAAAACACTAAGATAGTAGAATTCTGAGAATATCTACTGGACTTACAAAGAACAAATTTTCTAAATTGTTTTTGGCAAAATTATTTTCTAGTTACTGGTTGAATATTTGTGTTTGGAATTTATATTTAGATTTTTTTTTCTAAAATGGAAGTTCTCACTTTTTAAAAATATGATGTAGACTTTATTAGCAGTCTAGAAGCTTTATTAAGGTTTCTTCATCTACCACTAATTATATGTAATTAATGTTTCATAATTGCACCTATAATTCTAATTTCCTTATAACTCAATATAGGTAATTCAGCACTTAAAGATTTATGCTTATTCAAAGTAGCATTTGCCAGTCATCCAAAATAGGTGTCTTTGTTTTTGTTTCCAGTGGTACTTTCTGATGTAGTGTTTGATCATATTTTAGGTAACCTATAACATACTTAAATATACCTGATCTCCTTTTCTTTGAACATCTCTCAGAAGTGGGGCCCTTGTGACTGAAGTCCAGTGAGCTTAAAAGTCTTGTTAAGTGAGTGACATTAAATTGGCAGGCCTCTTTCCACTCTATACTACATATCAGTATTTGCTTCTCTGAAGTATAGAAAAGCAGAAGGTGACCAGGAGAATCAAAAAGTGGAACTAAGTCACTTTTCATTTCTTGCATGTACTAGATTGGTAGAAAAGGTGAAGGGAAGAATTAGAATTTTTGAAAATCTCTATTCAAAATAAAGAAGTCATTTAAGGAGATGGGTATTTTTAGTAGATCTCCTCACATTTAATAAAAATATTTTTGAGCACATATAATGATACTCTCATATGTCATGTCCCATTATAAATGAAATGGAAATATGCTTTGTAGTATGATGAAACACTAAGACCTAAAGGCATAGAACTGCAAGTGATAATATCCTCAAGAAGTATGTGCAGTAATTGTAGTCAGATATGTTTGAAGTCTTTTTAAGTGACTTTCTGAGGTGGTGTAAAATCAAGGAATACACAGAATTCCCCACCAAATGGAGAGCCAGAAACTTGGAACTTAATGGTCTGTGACTCTGAGGGTTTTCCTCAAACCCTGAAGACTTTGAGCTCCTGCTTTATCACCTACATAGGTGTGAAGTGGGCCAGGAATAATGCTTATGTCTCTGCCCAGAGAGAGGAAACTGATGAGACACCCCCCGCCTCAATAAAACCTGGATTCCAAAAAGCTGCATCCTCAATTTAAGGGTAAATGAGAAACAGTCAACTGCAAGTAAGGGGAAACTTGCTGGAGGAGTGCAAAAATAATCCCCTGAAAATGTGTAACCATGAGCCAACCCTTGCATAAGTTTGAGATCAACATTGTGCTAGAAACCATTCAGGTAAAAATTTTAATTTATGGAAGTCTTATGTTTGTATCCCTCAGGATACAAGGAAAAGCAAGTATCATTCTCCTCTGGAAAAATGTATTTTCAACTCAAGCCCTAAAGAATCCCCAAAGATAAAATGCCAAGAAGAATAAACAAGTAGTAAAACAAACAAACAAAAAAAAATCACAAAACACATAAGAAAACAAGGCTCCATGAATCAGGTCTAATCCCTGACCTACAGTGGGTCCACTTATAAATTTGCAGGTTTTTGTTTTTTTTTTTTTTTTCAATTTTACAGTGGTGCAAAAGCAGTATATTCAGGTGAAACTCCTGAAGTTTTGAATTATTATCTTATCCTGGATGAGCTCAGGTATTCTGTCCATACTGGGCAGTGGCAGCGAACTTTGGGTCCCCGTTGCATGAACTGCTGCTGTCAGCCATGTGAGCCAGAGAGTAAACAGCTGGTGTTCTACAGTGTACTGTGTATCTGAGCTGTGATGTACAGTAGTTTAGGTGTCTCAAATGCATTTCCACTTGATATTTTCAATTTACAGTGGGTTTATTAGGATGTATTCTTATAACGAGCAACTATATTAAAAACAAATTAATTTAATATTACTAACAAAAGAAAATAGGTAAAGAGAAGCTTGAAAATATGAAAAAGAACAAGATTTTAAAAACTGACCAACTTAAAAGACGTAAAAATAGAAGTTTTAGAAACAGAAGCTCAATGGTGGACCAAATAACTGATTATACCCAGCTGAAGAAATGACTATTCAGCTAAACAGCCATTTTGTGTCTTTTCTTTCTCCTTGAGCCCCCTTTTCTTCGATCTGCACCCTCACTAACAGAATTGGAGTAATCAGAAGAGAATTTACCCACAGCAACCCACATCATCAACTTACTAGACTCTACCCACATATTTTGAGTTCCTGTTGGTAACCATGATGAACTGTTTGTGTTCTTGTCCCTCCACGTAAGTTAGGTTTCAATTCTTTCCCATTTGAGGACTTAGTTCCAGCAATCTTCTCTTTCTCTTTCTCCTGGATCAACTTTTCCTTCTCTGAAGTTTAGTTCAGGGGTAGTAGAACAATTGCCTAGTGTGTGCAAGACCCTGGGTAAGAACCCCAGCACATCCAAAAAAAAAAAAAAAAAAAATTATTCTGTTTTCAAGTTCTCTCTTAACTCACCCATTCTTTCTGCTTCTACATCATTTTTCTTTTCTTGCTGTGGCAAATCTCCAGGGTTGTCTTTATTTCTTCTCTTTGTTCTCCTGTTCTCCCTTTAGCTCATTCCAGTTAGACTTTCGCCCCTCCACTTCTTGATCTTGTCAAGGTTGCCAATGTCTTTGTTGGTAAGTTCTTAAATCTCAGCTTTACCTATTGGCAGCATTTTTCAAAGCTCAACCCTCACTGTCCTTGAAGCACTTATTTCTTTTGGCATCCAGCATACAACACTTCAGTAGTTTCTTTCCTGTTCAATGGGCCAGTCTTGCTTAGTGTTCTTTGCTTGTTCTTTTGCCCTTGCTTGCCAGTCATTTGAACGTCATGGTTCAAATCTTGTTCCGTTTCCTCTATCTTGACTGTACTGCTCATTTTCAAATTTAAGTCTCTAGAGTAGGAGTCTTAGCTCTAGATCTTTATATTTTAACTTTTTTCAACCTCTCAAGTCGCTAAAATATCTCAGTCTTGAATATGAGGAACCAAACTCTCAATCTTTTCTCTCAGATTTGCTCTTCCCAAGATCTTTTCCTCCTATCACATATGTTCCAGCTGAATTAGCCTCCCTATTCTAACAGCCATGATGTTCTTGCCTTAAGCCCTTTATATGAGGTGTAACAAAAATATTTAAACTTTAAAAATTTATTACAGCAAAAGACATATTGCTAATACCTCTCATGTTATTCCCCCTTGCTTTAAACACACTTATTCCTATGGTTTTTGTGATATATCTTTTACTGTAACTTTTTTAAAAAAAAATTTTTTTTAACATTCACCATATTTTTTGATCTCCCCTTGTACTTATTGTTTCTTCTAGAATGAGCACTCACATATTCATAAGGTTCACTATCTTTGTTTGTTAGTTTCTGCTGAAGTGTCATTTTATCAAACAGCTTTCCATATCTAAAAATTCTTCAGCTTTAGTCATATGATATACAAGAGAAACCTTCATTCCTTACCTGGTACTCCCTATGCCCTTCACCCTTTGCTTAAAAGTCCCCACTATCTTCCTCCCTCACTCAGTGTGGTATAATATAAAAACTCATTTGGTCTTTGTTTCTGATTCTTGGTACAGTTCTTCCAAAATGCTTTCATGCTTACTAGATTGGCAAAATTAAAGCATACGTTAATATCATCATTAACTTCTACTTATTTTTGGTGATATAACAAACTGATATAACTGTTTTGGAATTCAACCTATCATTTCCCAATAAAACTGAATGGGTACTTATAGCAATTCCATTTCTAAACATATAACTTGGAGAAACTCTTACACATGTATACCAAGATGTGTATCGTCGTTCTTTACTCAAACCTGAAAATAAACCTCAGTATGGATTGTATTAGTTTCCTGTTGCTGTTATGATAAGTTGCCACCGACTTAGTGACTGGAAAAAATATACACGTATTACCTTGTAGTTCTGGGTCAAGAGTCTGAAAATGGATTTCACAAGGTTAAAATCAAGATGTCGGCGAGGTAATTTTCCTTCCAGAGACTCTGGAAAAGAGTTGTTCCTTACTTTCCAGGCTTCCAGAGGCTTCTGTTTGGCTTGTGGCATCTCTGTCTTCAAAGCCAACTGTGGAGTATTTTACAGTTTTTCTTTCTTACCCCAACACTTCTGCTTCTGTTTTATAAAGAATTTTGTGACTAATATGGTTTGACATGAATAATCCAGTAAGTCTTCTCATTTACAATTTTAAAGTCCCTTTTGCCATGTAAAATAACATATTGGGAGATTTCAGAAATTAGGGCAAGGACATTTTGGGGAGGGCATTATTCTTCCTGCTATATAGATCAACAATAGAATGAATATATTGTGATATTTTCATATAATGCTATTCTTTTAACAGGGAAAATGATGTACTACAGTAAAATTAATCATGAGCAGATGCCAAAATAAAATGTTAATAACAGAGGCACATTATAGAAGAATTCACATAATAGATTTCATCAGTAGTAAAGTTCGAAACAGTGGAAAGCCTCTAAGTATATTGCTTAGGGATACATTACAAAGAAAAGTAAAATTAAATATGGGTTTTATTTTTGTTTTTGTTTTTTGTTTTTTTTTTCAATACCAGGGATTGAACCCAGGGCCTTTGTACTGAGCTACATCCCTAGTCTTTCTTCTGAAATTTTGAGACACAGTCTGAGTTACTGAGTTGCAGAGTAACTTGCAGTCCTCTTGTCTCAGCCTCCTAGAGTGTTAGAATTATAGTTGTGTGCCATCGTGCTCAGCCTAAGAAATAATGTCTTGCTATGTTGCCCAGGCTGGCCCTGAACTCCTGGGCTCAGCCTTCTAAACTGGACATAGTCAACAACTCAAGAAATAGCAAGTACTAGGAACAATGTTTTAAAACCACATATTTTGATTTGTATTTTGATTTTGCTTTTCTGTTGTTATTCGGGAGGCTAGGATTTGGAGTCCTGTATAAGTTAGGTGAGTAAGCTGGGCATGGTGATGCACTCCTGTAATCCCAGCACTCGGGAGGCTGAGGCAGGAGGATTGTTGTGAGTTCGAGACTAGCCTGGACTACAAAGTGAGCTCAAGGCCAGCCTGAACTGCATAGTGAGACCCTGTCTCAAAAAGACAGGGTGTATATATATATATATATATATACACACACACACACACACACACACATATATATAGTAAAAAAGTTATGAGAGTAATGGAATCAGATATGCAAGTTAGTGATGGGATCCTAGGAAATGAGATAGGAAAGTATATAGAATTCCAAGAGCTAAAATTCTTGATAATGCTCCCTTGTTCTTTATCTCAAGATGATATAGCTCTAACTATACATAGTAGGGAGTTTTGGGAGAAAGGACAGAAACAGCAAGGACTGATTTCTACTTCTTGATAACCACTTGCATGTGTTCCTCCTGTGGACCACAAGAGTAACCTGCAACAGACCAAACCCTTTTGTTATTTTTAATTGAAAATTTGAATTGAGATAGTTGTAAATACATATACACTTATAAGAAATAATACAGATAAGTGCCATGTACCCTTTATTTAGTTATCCTGATGGTAACATCTTGTAACATACATGGTACAGTGGTATAATCAGGGCATTGCCATTAACTGTGGACCTCATTTAGATCCCCCCAGGTCCCCCCCATTGTTTATGTACATATATGTGTTAGTTCTATACGGCTTTATCATGAGTAGTTGTGTGTATCCACCATGGCAGTGAAGATACTGAGAGGTTGGTGACCAAAGCATCTATCCAATTACTTTTTTATAACCATACCACCTCATTCCCCACTCCACTCCACCCCTGACCCCTAAGCCCTGGCAACAATCTCTTCTCCATTTCTAAAATTTTTCATTTTAAAAAATATGGTGTAAGTGGAGCCATACGGTTTGTAACCTTTTGGAGTTGGCTTTTTTTACTCAGGATAATTCCTAGAAAATTCATCCAAATTGCTGCATATAAAAAAAAAAAATTGCTGCATATCACTGAGGCCAATTTTTAGTTCAGTTCAATGTTTTATGGAATTTTTGGACTCTAAATTCTCTTTGTAAATAACAGTTTCTCCTGGATTAATGGATACATTAGTGGGTAGGGCATAAAATTTAATGTCTGATGGATTTTGGGAAAAATTGCATTTCAACTTTGGAAAATTAATTTAAGCTTGCTAAGCTTTAATTTCCTTACCTGTAAAATTAGCATATTATTTATAGGATACTTCTAAAGAGTAAATAGAGTAACATATTAAAGGTCTTAGCACTGTGCCTGTCACATAGGTTCCATAAATGGCAATCTAAAAGAAAGATACGGGTTGCTACAGCAAAATTATCACACTCTGACTTCCAGGTTAGTCTGGGAAGAGATTGTTTTAGCATCTCATTGGCTACTTGATTTTTATATATGTTTAGGAAGGAGAAAGAAACTTCAGTCTTTTATTTTGAGCACTAACCAAGAATTTTTAGTTTTTCAGAGTGGACATTACCTAATCTTCATACTGATTTTTTTTAATATCAGTGACCATAGTAAAACATAAGTAGCTGCTTTAATGTTATGAATCTTAATCAGCAAAAACTGGCTATCTTGAATGAACAAATGATTTTTTGTGTGATTTACCAAACTTACAGATTTGGTAAGTTTGAAACATCAGTAATTTACATATTTAAACTTTTTATATATGTACATTCTAGGTGGCTGGAGTTCTGGATGACTGCTTGTGTGATGTTGACAGCATTGATAACTTCAACAATTATAAGATCTTCCCCAAAATAAAAAAATTGCAAGAGCGAGACTATTTCCGTTATTACAAGGTAAAGTTATAATTTTGATTGTGTTGATGCCAAATATTTCTCTATAGCAGCCTGTGGATGTGACTTATAACCCTTTTGAAAATCCATTTTAGTTCCCCTGAACAGGCTATGCGTGTCTTTGGTTATTTGAGTGTATTAAGAATCATAGTGATTCTTAATTAGTTTTATTAATCACTAAGAATCTCAACCCCCTTCCTGTGTTTGGGGATTTCCTCATCTCAGTTTCGGTTTCGAGGCAGAGACTCCTCCTTTTACAGAAACTGAAAATGCCAGGGATTGAATTTGTCAACTTCTCTTTAATATAGGCACTACCATGTAGACCCACCTACCCAGGCTTCAAGTTGGGTTGTACACTAGCATTGTTAGCAGTGCAAAGTGACATAGTAGCAGATGTGCTCTGCTTAGCTCCCTGGAAGGGCTAGCAAACCAGGCTGAGGTTACAGGAACACTATATGCAATGTCCATGCTAATACTGCGGGATTGGGTTTAAATCTAGTAACTCGATCCTAAACCTACACAAAATACCAATAATACTTTAGAGGTAGCAGCAGTCTTCAAATATGGCAATTAGCAATATTCAAAAGGACAGTTATTCTAAATCTTTGAAAATTATTGTAAAAGATACTATTGGGCTTTGCCTTTGCTTTTGCTCTCAAGATTCATTTGGTTTTTTCTGGTACCAGAAATCGAACTCACAATCTTGCGCTTTCCAGACAGGCACTGTGCCGCTGAGCTAAATCCCCAGCCCCATCATTTGGTTTATGATTTCTTTGATTTTAGTATTAGTTTCTTCTAAAAACTGAGCATGATTTTCTTTTTATCTTGATTCTTGATAGACTATCTTAATTCTTCAAATATTTTTGAGCATAAAAAATTCAATCTCCTGGCAATTTTAAGTTGTGCAAGAGATTAAATTAGAAAATTAAAGAGCCAGTCAGTACCAAGAATATCTAAAAAAGAGTGACTATTTCTTTTCTATCAATAAAATATTGGTTATACCTGGGCATGGTGGCATATGCATGTAATCTTAGCATTTGGGAAGCTGAGGCAGGATGATCACTATGCGTTAGAGGCCGGCCTGAACTATGTAATAACACCTGTCTCAAAAACCAAAACTAAAACAGTACAAAAAATTGGTTATGAATTCAGTTTCTAGAATTTATTTCGAAGAGAAATCTATACCTAAACTTGTCTTTTGGCCTCACTGTGTAATTCAGGCTGGCCTTGAGTTCACTATGTAGCTCAGGCTGGCCCTGAACTCATGGCAATCCTCTTACCTCTGCCTCCTGAGTGCTGGGATTACAGGCATGTGCCACCATGCCCAGCTAAACCTGTTGTCTTTTTGTGGGGGTGTGTGTGGTGCTGGGGATTGAACCCAGGGGCTTGTGCATGCAAGGCAAGAACTCTACCCCTGAACACATCCCCAGCCCCTTAGACCTGTTGTTTTAATCTAAGTATATTGCATATAAATTACTACCACCACTGAATCCAAATCTATCTGTATTTACAGTTGCCATCTTATACTTCCCTCTTATTATTAGATTGAATCATATGAAATTGTTACTTTTCTATTCCAAAAATGATTGAATACACACTTTTATATGGTTCAACCTAATACAGTGGAGGAAGCATTCATTTCCTTAAAAACTACACCTTCGCAGGTGTCCAGACCACATCTCCACTGACTTTCTCATGATCTTCAGTCTTTCTCTCTTCCATTTTGGGATTGTGTCTTCTATTTCTGTATCCCCACAAATCCTGGTCAATAAAAGCACTCAGATATTTCAGCGAGTGAATATCTTGTTAACTTTCACATCAAAATATTTTATTATTATCTACATTTTTCAAATGAAGAAATAGTTTAGGTATAGGTAGGGCATTTTTGTTGGCTAAGAAAACAGAAGTTTGATTAAGAAAAGATACTGAGTAGTTTACAAAATTGAAAGACAAGCTGAGAAAGCGTACTTCAGAACATAGTGGTACTTTGGTACTGGTTATTAATTGGTTCCAGGAAGTATGACAAGTACCAGAAGTGACAATTTCCAAACAAATTGTTTTGCTGGAGAGGGTAGTGAGTCACGAGGCAATCAACAACTATAAATTATAGCTTATGTTTTGAGTACCAAACAAGTGATGAGTACTGGAACACAATTTTTGAGTTTAAATGCGTCAAGGGCCAATTTGAATTTCAAAGCAGATGAGTACCAAGGTACATATGACTGTAGATGAAATTAAATGAGTGAGCACTAGTGGATAATTAAAGACCAATTTTGGATCAAATTAACCATATTCTCATATTTTGCAACGCTTTATACAAGATATGAGAGCCTTGATTGTTCTAGGTAAGGTCATGTGACCTTTGACCAAAAGAGGGAAGGACAACTTTGTCAATAGTCTCATTCACATGAATATAAGAGGAGTCATTGTTTCTCAAAGGTAAATTGGGGCTTTAAGTAAGGAAACACGGCTGTTGGGTAGACAAAAATAACAATATGCCTCTTGGCTACCCAATATATAATCTCTTCTTTTCTCTCATGCATGTGGTTTAAAAATGTTCCAACTGAGTGAAATTGTTCTATATGTAACCAAAACACACTCCTGTCCTCTCCTAAAGGAGGGTAGTGCCCTATTAATGCCCTCAGCTATAAGTCTAAAATATTTGAGTGATGGCTACTCTTCTAGTTTTGTCAACCTATGAAAGATATACAAAGGAAGTTTAACCAGTCAGTGCATGAAATTTAACCACTTCATGTAATAGGGGAAAAGAAAACTAAGAAGAGGCTCATTTCAGGCATATACATGCGTACTTACAATTCAGCAAGCAAGGAAATATAGGAAGAAACAACCATGTACTTTTATGCAGCTGGCCAGTTGATTGCTATACCTGGTGTTCACGGCTTTTCTTTTGTATTATCCCTTCCATTCCTTTTCTCACCAGTTATTTATTTTTGGGATGAGGTATTGCTATGGAGCCCAAGATGGCCTGGAACTTGCTTTGTATACCAAGCTGTGCTCGAACTTAGTTTTTCTGCCTCAGTCTCCCAAGTGTTGGGATTATAGGCATCCACTACCATGCTTGGCTCCCATGAAATATTTATTATGTTAATTGTGGTTGCCTCTAGTCTAGGTAGTACTATGGATACAGTAATGAATAAAACAAAGCCTTTGTTCTGATCAAGGAAACAATAAGCAACAAATGTACTTTCAGAGGGTAATAAGGTAAATGTTATGAAGAAAAATAAAGCAAAATAGAAGATAGTGATGATGAAAAAAGGAAAAAGGAGGCAGGTGACCTTATATGAAGGAAATCAGGCAAGGAAGGTATGTTAATCACCTTTCTGTTGCTGGGACAAAATACCTGACACACATAACTTAAAAGAGAAAAGATTTATTTAATTGGTGGTTTCAGAAGTCTTTATCCATGATCAGCTGGCTCCAAGGCAGCAACATCATGGTGGCAGTGTGTGGCAGGGGAAAAGTATTCACTTCATGGCAGCCAGGAGGCGGAGAGAGCAGGAAAAGAGCAAGAGACAAAGGAGCTGGGAACAACATACACCCTTCAGAGTCATGCCTCCAGTGACCTACTTCCAACTGGCCCCTACCTGTAATAGCCCATGAGCTATAGGCTTATCAGTGGATTAAGGTGAATGCCCTTGTTACAGTCAGAGTTTGCAAGGGAATAGATTTAATACAGGATACATAATTTATAGGATTATTTTATAATATTCACCCAAAAAGTCAAATGCAGAAGGGTGCAAGAGACGTGTCCATGCACTAGTGTTACAGGTTGACCATTAGTTAATCCACCACAGCCCTCATGATCTAAGTACCTTTATAGCCCCACCTCTGAACATTCCTGCATTGAGGGTCAAGCTCTTAATATGTGAATATTTTGAGGGACACTTTTAATTTAAGCCATAACAGAAGATATTTATGCTAATGTGACATTTGAGCAAAGACATACTTAATGTGAAAGAGTAAACTATGATAAGATCTGGAGAAAGAGCATTCCAGGGAAGGGGGTTTAAAGAAAGAGCAGATTTAAAGATCTTGACAAAGGAATAAGGCAGCTATCTTCAAGGAATAGGAAAAAGGTTGATGGTGTGGTAGAAAGTGAATGAAAGGGAGAGTTGGAGAGGTAGGTAGGAACCAGATTTTTTTAAAGTTAGGGTTTATTGATGAGAGAAAAAATTTGGATTTCATTCTATGTGTGATAAGACTGTTGAAGAAATTTTTGTGCAAAATAAACTGTAAGAGTATGAGGCAGGAATGGAGAAATCATTTAGGAAGCTATTGCTATAGTCCAGATAAGATGATACAGATTTGGAAAAGGGTTCTAGAGTTGGAAGATGTGGAAAATGATCACATATTTATTTTTTAAATAAAAGGTAACACCAACAGGCTTTTCTGATGGATTGTGAAGTGTAAAGGTAGAAATGATGATACCTAAGGTTTGCATACATACATAAAAAATTATGATCAAATGAATTTTATTCCAAGACTACAAGAATAATTCTTCTAGATCTCCAACAGAATTCAAATATATACTCTTGTTTGTTTTTTTTTTAAATCAGTAAGAGTTATCAATACTTCTTAACGTGATGATTTCAGCCCAAGATCTTATGGAGAAACACTAGAAAAATTTTCACTCAGGTCAGAAACCAGGAAAAGAATAAGAAGTCTTCATTGTTGTTGAATGTGTTGTCTAGTACAGTTAACAAAAAGCCACTAGAGGCATAAAAATTTAAAAAGAATAAAAAAGATTTTCACTTGTGACAAAAGTATACCTTGCAAGCATAAACAGAAAAAGTTGTATACTTAATATATAAAAAAGTCAATAGCTTTGTAAATGCTAACAATAACCAGTTGGAAGATAGACTGGAAAACCTCATGAATAAAAAATACATAAAATATATAGGCATAAGTGTATTTAATAATATGCAAAACCTAAAGGAAGAAGGCTTCAAAACATTCTTGAAAGACACAAAAGTAGGCTTGTT